GGAACAGTCCTGAGTCTTTTAACCAGTTGACTTTTCTCTCATAAGAAACACAAATCCCATTGATGGGGTTTCTCTCCTTATATGAACTCCTACGTTGCTTGAAAAAGCAGGGCCTACTTTTGAGCCTTCTTCTATGCAGGCAAGCTGTCACCATTTTTATCACTACCACCTCTCTTTGCAGACTTATTTTCTTACTTGTATTCTTCCTTTACCTAATTTCCCCCCACATACTTTAGAGGCTTTTTAGTACCTATATGCCAATATAAATTCCTTTTAATCCCTTTCTGTCAAAGATAAATAGGAGTGTTCACATGTATAAAGAAATGAATATATTTTATATATATTCTCCAAATATTAAACAAGTAACTTCAAAATGAAATAATCTCCAATTTTTAAAGGAAGAGAATCACACAATTCACATTTGAAAATAAAGCAGATTAAAATTTATTCACAGAGACTTACCTGACATTTTGAAGAATTCCAATGAATCCTGAAAAATAAAACATTTTTATACCTTATAAATATATATATACATAGTTACTATCATTATTTAGTGATGCATGTAACAAGTCCTGTGATTCTTTCAGCCTCTAGTTATCTTTCTTTCTTTCTTTTAATTCAACAAATGTTTACTGAGCACCTATCATGTACTAGGCACTACTACAGGTGCTGAAAGCATAGCAGTCAACCAGATGGACACTCTGCTGGAGATTACATTCTAGTGGAGTGAAACATGTCAGCGAATATTTAAGATTAAACTTAGATAGAAAAGTTAGGAAGAAAACAGAGTAAAAGATCTAAGAAAAACACGGCTGGGGAGTTCCAGGGGCTCGGGAAAGCCTCATTCAGGGGGTGACCTTTCAGCTATCTTAGCTATGAAAGGAGGCCTTATACTAAAAACAAGTATGAAGACAGTTCCAGAAAGACAAGAAAGTAATTGCAAAGAAATGGTAAAGAGCTTGGAATATTCAAGGGAGGGAAAGATGGCAGGTATGACTGGGACACAAGGGAAGAAGAGAACCCAGGTAAGAGGTGGAGACACAGGTCTGCCTGAAACTCATGGCACAATGTTTGGAATCTGCTGGAATTGCAGTGGGGAGGTCTCTGGAGGTCTCTAATCAGTGATCAGATCTGATTTAAACTTTATCTTGAGAGGGTGGGAGTAGAAGCAGTGAGGGAGGGATGGGGGCAGTAATCCAGGTGAGAGCTGATGCTGGCTTAGACCTGGGAGGTAACAGGGGAGAGGGTCAGATGCACAACAAGATGTGGAAGCAGAACCTACAGGGGCTGCTGATGGACTAAGCAAGGAGAAGCATCAAGGATGAGCCTCGCTTTTTAAAGCCAGGGTGTCTAAATTGATGGTGATGCCACCAACCGAACTTAAGAGGAAGATGGTGGGGAAAATGTTGGGGACTGGAGTGTTGAGACTGGGAAGGGCAGGAATCAGATGTTCAAATTGGGACCTGTTGTGTTTAAGAAGCTGAAAGAAAACATGTTAAAAAATAAAAATATGTGGGGGTGGGATAGGGGTATAGCTCAGTGGTAAAGTGGGTGCCTGGCATGCAAGAGGTCCTGTGTTCAATTCTTAGTTCCTCTGTAAAGGGGAAAATTTTTGTATATGTGAACATCCTGAGAATAACTTAGAGAAGTAAACTAGAAGTTCAGGTGATATTTGAAACAAGGAGGCAGGATCCGGGGAGAAATTTCATTAATCCAATCATGGGAAAAAGATTATTATTAGAGAAAGGAATTTCAGTATTTCAGGTTTCTGAGTTCTGGGTAATGACAAACAACAAGGAGAAAACATTAACAAATGGTATAATATACTGAATGCTTATCAAATGTCAGGAAATGGCCAAGCACTTTTCATGTTATCTCCAATTATAAGATCTCTCTGATATGCAAATGGCCAACCCTGCTAAACTCAAGAACTTCTAAATCCAAAGTCCCTGTTTTTCCAATGAGTCATCCTGGTTGTCAGAGTACAGAATGTGGTCATTTGTGCTGTTTGAGTAGGAAGTAAATATATATACATATGTGTATATGGACAACTGAATTGCTTTACTGTACACCTGAAATTAACACTGTAAATCAACTATACTATAATAAAAAGTAAAAATTAAAAAGAAAGAAAGTCACAGGTACAGAACAGATTTACTGAAGGAGCACTAGAACACCATATGAGTGAGTGGTCAACACGGATACTGAATTGACCCGGTGAATGCCACCATGGCATAAGCCAGTGTGAGGATTCCCAGCTCTCACCACACCTGCTTCAGAATTCCACCAGTCTTGGACCACTTCCACTAACCTCTTTGGAGCTGGAGTTAATTGTACAGTGTCCTATGAGTCTTAAAAGTAAAAACAGTTTCCTGAGGCATACCCCAAATCCAGACCCAACTGCAGGCCAACCAAAAGAATTCCAGGATTTGATCCTATTCCTTTAATGATGATACTCTCTGGTGCTTAGGAAAATGCCCACACCTTTCCAGAACCTTAAATTCTGAACATTCCTAGGACTCCTACGCTTGTACACACAGGTTACAGATGAGAATGTTTTTGACAACCTGTTCGTATTAAAAGAAACTGAAAACACTTCCCACGCCCATCAATGGTACACTGGATAAATACATTCTGATACATTCATATAACACAATAGTATACTGTAGTGAAAAGAAAAAACTACAGCTACTCATATCAACCAAGATAAATCTCAAAACTACAACAACAACAAAAAAAAGCAATTCATAGGAGAACACATTTGAATCCCTTAAGAATGTTCAAAAGCAGGAAAATGAAAAAGCGTTTCTTTTCTGATAAATGTATAGGAGAAAAGTCAGGGAATTAATAACACAAAATTCAGGAAAATTGTCATATATGGAGAAGTGACTTGGGACGAGTTTTTAGTGCTGGCCTTCAAGGGGCTTGAAGTTCCTGCTAATGTTCTAACAGGGCAGTGGGAACAGAGGCAATGGGTTGTTACTAGCTTTTAAAGAGCAGCGTGTATGTTTAAATATGCACATTTATATGTATGACATTGTTTCCCAATAAAAAGAACCATCTGACAGTTCTGTGTTGAGTGTAACTTTCTAACTAAACATCTCCTGTTCCTTTCTATACTAAACCTGGGGATTGCACACTGTCAAGGAACTGTAATGGAAACTAATCAGAACAGAATATTGAGTGCCTTAGTAAAAAGGGGAAAATTATCCATCTATCTGTCCATCTGTCTATTCAGCCACCCATCCATCCAACTACCTAGGGTGGCACATGGTATATGGCATAGTGCAATGGTGGCAAATGTTAATGATTGCTGAATATTTGAATATTTTTGAATATTGAAAAATATTTGAATATTTTTATTACCAAAAAAAAAACCTGAAGGAAAAATACACCATTCTGGACCCTAAAAGTGAAGCAGCATCTCTGGGGTCCAGGTCTGGAAATCTGTACTTTGAACACAGTACCAGGTGATGCTTTTCATCAGGCATGTTTGAGGCTGACGGAGTGTAAAGAAAAACAACATTTCTCAACGACGCCAGGCAAAAATTAGAATTCCAATGTGATTCAAGTGACTGAAAAACACCTTGAAAAAATAAAACAATTCTGAAAAAATTTTAAATCTATAGAAATGTTTTAGAAACTAGTATCAATGAATTTTAACAAAAATATACCTAAGCATTGCTTCACAATCTGCAGGTGCTCAAAGCATTTATCTCTTCCCTCCTTTGAGCCACTAGTTTCTTTTTTTTTTTTTAACTACCCTAAATTCTCATCCTTTTCTTTAAAATTTTACAATACAGTTTATCAAAAATGTTATATAAGGCAGAGTAATTTCCACTTGGTACAATGATAATTTCCAGTTAGTACATGTTGTGCATTTAACCCTCCCTTAACACGCAGTGGATTGTCACAGATTTCCTGCTCACTCAGCGAGGCCAGCAAGTGCCATACATTAAGGAGAGACTGACTTCTGGCTTTTTAGCAAACAGAAATCAGATAGAAAACTGAGCTGCATCTCCATAATAGGTTGGCATTACACGGCCCAGAGAACTCAAGTGCAGAGGCCTTGGCATTTTCAAGGCTTAGGCTGCATACAGGGAAATCTAAGCCAATGGAAGTGTAAAGAGGGAAAGGAGACACAGGAGACACAGGATGAGGCAGGCGAAGCTGTGGTTGGCTGCTCTGTGAGGCAGCCCTGATATCTTAAATAGCATCCTAGAGATGCCATTTACCTGGTGGTAAAAGCTAGAGAGCATTTAGCTGGATACCTCTGGCTGCAGCAAACTCTGCAGCTGTGTTATATGCTCACTCTTCAATTTCACCTCTGTAAACAGTGACACACTAGCAAAGTCCAATAAAACCACAAGTTCTAGAGCCACGCCATGGATATTTGAAACTTCAAACGCAAAACTGGAGATGACAAAGCTCTTTGCAGCTGAGCATTTACTGGAATCTGTCCTGGTCTTGGTAAGAGAGCCTCTGGGCACGTGAGAATTTTGCAATTCTCTAGGCACAGGGCTTGGAAACCTGCCTATGAAATCTAAAACCTTGGGCTCTGCCTGTCTCCACTGTCTTCAGCTCTAAGCAGAGAGAAAAGAAAGCAATAGGTCCCCGTCTGCACAATTCCTTCAGCTTCTTAGCAGCAGCAGGAAATACAGCTAGTTCTCGCAAAGTCCTGGTCCATCTACCACAGCTCCCCTTTTGGGTTTAATATGTAACTGTTAGGAAGTGATATCCTTTGTACACAAGGTAGGACACTTGGTGGAGGGCAGAAGACTGGGTAGATGGTAAGTGGTGTATGCCAGCACATTTCAGACGGTATGGACAGTGGTGCAGACAGACAGGTAGCTCCCAGGTCTACCTCCACTAGTTGTGTAAGGCGGCCCTGATATCTTAAATGGCATCCTACAGCTACCTTGAGTGACCATTCTGTTCTTCAGTTATCTTGTGTGTCATGGGCACAATGACAGCTGAATCCACCTCACAGTATTGTGAAGACTAAAATGGTTTCCCCTGGATCGCACTTAACACAGCATCCGGTACATAGCAAATCCTCGACAAATATACATTACTACTACAATTTCGCTAGGTAAAATAAACGAACTGGTGAGGAGACCAAGAATAAATGTCTGTATTCAAACATAGTATATTTAAAAAAAAAGCTGTCTGGCATTTAGCCATTTAACATGTATTACTGAGCATCAGTGTGCAAGACTTAATGCTGGGTTCCAAGCTGATACCAAAAATTTCCATCTCCTACCATCAGCAAGTATGGTCCTAGCAGATGTGATTTTATGAGCATTGTTTGTACTGAGTTTCAAATTGGAAAAAGCTAGGAGAAAACAGAGACATTGCTGAGGGCTTTTTCCTACTTGTAGCTAAATGAAAGAGGTAAGCACAGCTTAAGTGTCTACAGGATTTGCTTCTAATTTAGGATAGTGACATTGATTATGTTATATTATTAAGATGAATTGATTTATCTAGTAACAGGCTTTAAAAAGAGTAGACAATTAAAATTACATTAAAGACATCATCTCTTTGTCTCTTATTACAGAAATACTGTGAAACTAAATAAATACATACAATAAATAATTATATTTAAATGTAAGGTACCAAAGACTATACCTTATTTGAACTATTCCATTTTTGTTGTTTACACCTTTTTGATATTATGATCTGTGCTATAAAATTCCATTTACATAAATATTTGCATATACTTCTAGCCATTCACTTATGAGAAAATAATTTACAAAGGATTCATGTTCTACAAGTGAATGGTTTTATAGTTTAGGGAACATTTTGTCAAATTATTTTTTTTCTAGCAAGGCTTTTCAGTTTAAACCTAAATCATATCTGACTGTGACCATCTCAATATCAAATATTGTCTTTCTTTAAATTTTGCCACATACCAAGGTTGGTATTCTTGTATTACCATGCCACCAAATATAATTCTTAATTCCTTAAATATTAAAAATAATCATGTATTTTCTGAAAAAGAAGTTAGCTGATATGGTGGTGTAACAGATTTCTGAGAATCACTAATGCAAAAATATTACAAAATAGTAGATACTCAGGACTTACATTCAAAAGAACTGTTCATTCTTTTTATAAGTGACCCTTTAAATACCTTTTGCTAATTAAAACATAAAACTTTTATTCATTTCTTCACATGAAGTTAAAGGCAAATGGAAATGTAATGGCTGCCTAGGGAAACAGACCCTAAAATTGGAGGTTTAAATGTAAAAATAAAATAAAATCCTCTCAGGAAAAGTAAAAAATCAGATAAATTGTTTGAAGAAAGAACATAGAAAATGGACTGGGTGTGGCTAAGAGAGACCCAAAATAAAATGGACCCATACAGCCATGACAGACTTGGGGCTCAGTTTTTAGAAAAACCACAAACAACTATAAGAACTTCTGATTTTGCTATGTCTTTCCTAGAATGTTCCTAAGGAGAAGCTCTGACACCAGTTAATCACAAAAACTTGTGGTCAGGCTGCAAGGGTCATCCAATTCCCTTACAAGTCTCCCAGTGGTGGCTTCTGAGGTTTTTGCTTTTAAAAGTACTTCGCCCCCCAAAACATACTTTCTGTTACACCCAAAGGCTGTGTATCCCCAGTCTGCAAACGTTTCGAACAATAAAGCTGTCCTTTTGTTTCAAGATAACCCTGATTCTTTCCAGAGATTTATTTCTAATTTAGGATGACACTTTAAATACCTATTGTTAATTAAAATATATGATACTTTTATTCATTTCTTCACAGGAACCAAGATCAAGACAAATGGAAATTTAATGGCTGCCTAGGGAAACAGACCCTAAAATTGGAGGTTTACAAGCAACAGATGCATTATGTTTCTGTTTAGCTTGCCTGTGGATTCTGGATTGAATATTAAAATAGTCAGGTGGTTCAAGGGTCACCCTCTTTGAAATCACTGCTGAAGAACAAACTAGCTCAGATCAGATTTGACGGTGGTATCCAGAAATATGGCCTCTGATCCCACACAAATCTTGCACATTAAGGGTCTGACTAGATTTCTGCAGTAAATTTACTAGACAAATTGTGTTCTTTCGCTTCCTTTTCTGTTTACATTTCTTAGCATTATACTGATGGATGAAAAAGGCTGGATGTTCAAGAACTGATTATTATTTTTGTGCCTAATATATCAAATCAGAGCTCCCAGGACTGATGACCTCTTACCTTTCAATTGTATTCAACAAAGACACTTTCTAAACATCTTCATAGGCAGTTTACAAATATTAATTTCATAAGAAGCTTTGTAAAAGACACTATAATAGAGGTGGAAACTGAGGCACAGACAAGTTATTAAAAGGCTCACCTCTAAGGCTGCATGCAGTTAGTGAGAAACTCTGGCAGCCTTTACCAGGGCGATTCAGTTCCCCAAGGCTATACCACGTTGCTACCTTGCCTGGGCTTTCCTTTTATCCTTTTGGCCACACCAGAACTCTTCAATGTTTACCTTTGAAGTAGGGGAGAGCTATAAGATAAAAAAACACAGTTGACCTTGAACAATGCAGGGATCAAGATGCTCACCCCCAGCAGCCTAAAATCCACGTATAACTTTACAGTCAGTCCTCTTATCCTCAGCTCCACATCCGAGGGTTCAGCTGACTGCGGATAATGCAGTGCTACAGTTTCTATCTAGTGAAGAAAATCCACGTACAAGGGGACCCTCACAAGTCAAACCTGTGTTGTGCAAGGGTCCACTGTATGTACAGTTTAATGAGCTACTTTTTCTTGTCTCTGTAAGGCATAGCAATTCTGATGTAGACCTGGTAAAATCAAAAAAACAGAAACAACTAGTTCAGCTATGTTACTCTTTGAATATGAATTTGCTGAATAATTGGGTAGGTCTGTTTGAAATGTTTTTACAGTAATGGTGACACATTTACATTAATCGGTTTTGGCTCAGCAAAAGTTTTGTGGATTATAGACTAATTCACATGTGACATTAACATGGATAACAGAAACATTAGCTGCAAGGTTTAAACTAAGTCAGTTTATGTATTTTAGTCAATGTAATGAGGTAGGTGAGGAATGCATTTCACAAAAATACCTGCAGCTAGATATCTCATGTTATAAACAGAGCTCAGGAAGAAGCTTTTCATGGACTTTCCCAACCTTTCTCTCTGGGAAGCTGGCCCCAAAGCAGATCATGTTTATGAAAGAGAGGACTGGGGTCTCTGCCTATTATGGCCAAATAAGCCACTGGGGCAAAAAGAAAACCCCTTTCTGGCCTAGAGGTGGTGCCACGTAGTGCTGACAGAGTGGAGAAAAGTGAGCAGAGCAGTGGGGAGGGAGGCTCCTGGGAGGGAGATTGAGAGTCGGGAGAGAGGAAATCAACAGCTGGTGCAGTAAACAGTTTTGAAATGGGAGCCTTAAAGAGGATTAAATTTGGTGGAATCCCCCCCAACTAGAAGGTAAACTTCCTAAAGAAAGATGTTTAACTTAAAAAAAATATATTATTCTTGTCCTCTCAGTACATAGAGCAGTGGCTGCACATGGTAGGTATCCAATAAATATTGTTTAAACGAAACTTTTCACTCTGTAAAATCCTCTGCTACATCCTTTAAGAAAATTTCTCCTATAAAGCTTAAATTATTCCTCCACATCACGGGGTATTTTTTGTCTCCTTTGAATATAATATCTTATAGATTCCATTACATGTTTGCATGAAATCAATCCTACAAGAAACTTGAAAGAAACTGATTAATTTTCACTATGAAAAATTAAAATATTGGAAAATTCTAGTCAATCTATATTAAGTTTTTACAATTTATACAAACATTTTTCTTAGTTTAGTCACACCATTATTATTGCCGAACAAAATGTCTATGGTAGGATATTCCCCTCTTTTTAGCATGTTAAGAATCTTGAAAGTTGGTTACTTGGCTTTATTTTAAAATAAAAGAATGAGATTAAACGGGAGCAAACTGATAGTCACAGTTGATAAGTTTTATTAAACATAGAGAATATCAGGTCTATTTTAGCTTTCAGAGGGGACATGTTTTTGTTACTTGGAGTATAAAAAATACCAGAAGAATAATATCATGATCTTTATTTAATGCAATTAAGAAAACATTACCATGCCGATCATGGTTTCTGGAAGATTACCAGATAATGCTTTATTGTGTCATTTTCTGACTAGTCTTCCAGTATTAAAATCTGTAACAAAACAGGATGTCGTGTGACCTACAATTAAACCATTTTGATAAGAAGCTTTACATGTATAAAAACAGCCATTTTAAATATGTGTTATCTGGAAAAGTACATAGATTTGCATCACAAAAGGACCCCTCCTACACAGATCCCCCTCTCCCATCTCAAAGGCAACCAGACACTAGATTTTTTTTGTCTTCCAAGAAGTTTTCTAAGCAAACACAAAATATATTTATGCCCTTTAACACAAATGGCAGCCTTCTATATACCATTCTGTACCTTGTTCTTTATTAAAATTGTCCTGATGTTGATTACATTTCAGTTCCCATAATCTTATTCTTTTTAATGGCTGCACCAATTCAACTGGCTGCTTGATGAAAATTTAAACTGTTCCCCAAATGTATGCTATTACAAACAATCTGAAATAAGCTTATATATATTACTTCTTTGTATACATGTGTATTAAATTCTTAAAAGTAGAATTGCTGGATCCTAGTTTTAAGCAATTTTATTTTAACGTATACAGTCAAAGTATACACTAAGAATCTGAATCAATTCACCCACAAGACAAAAAGCTGTTACATTTCTCACACAATGTTTATTCAAAATTTTTGTCACTGCCAATCTGAAAGGTGAAAACATTTCAGTTTTATTGTCCGTATCTTGACCAGTTTTTATTATATGCTTAAAAGTTATTTTCATCTCCTGTGAAATGCCTGTTTGGCACATGCCCATTTTCCTCTTTGCTAGTTTTTAAAGAAATTTTCTTTTCATGTTGCTTGTAAGAATGGTATTAAAATTTTATTTTCTGTTAAGAATATTTTCTCAAAATCTGTCATTAATTTTTACTACATTTTTTGCCATGCATTCTTTTTTATTTTTTATAATCCAATTTTAGATATTTTCCTTTTTAAAAGATAGCATTTCCACCATCCTGAAGGATGAAAGAGGGTTTGATACAATGTTGCTGAAATACATAGAGTGTGAAAATTACTGTATTTTCTGTTTATAAAAAAGTTAACAGGTTGTGAAAACCCTCAGGCAAAACTTTTCAACTGTGTGCCTATAGGAAAGGTAACAGCAATCAATACTAAAGAAAGGGATTTTCAAAGAAATAACCTGAAAGAGAAAGCAAATGGAGCAAACAATATGAAAAGCTTTGTGAAAGAACAAGTATTTCTTCTATTATTCACAAAGTGATTCTTCTGTATGTTACTAATTACACTCTCAGCAGCTTTACTGTTTATTATTTTACTTTTTCCTCTTATGACATCATCATTTGTTACTTATAAATATGCATACATTACAGAACCATGTAACGGAATATGAACATACATAATAATATACCACACCTCAGAGATATTGCAGGTTCAGTTCCAGACCATCAAAGTAAAGCCAGTATCACAACAAAGCAACTCACACAAATTTTTTGGCTTCTGAGTGTAAGTTATGTTTACACTACACTGCAGTCTACTAAGTGTGCAATAGCATTATGTCTAAAAAAAGGAACATACCTTAATTAAAAACTAATTTAGTGCTGAAAAATGCTAACCATCATTTGAGCCTTCAGCACATTGTAGTGTAACATCAAAGATCCCTGATGTCTGTAACAAATATAATAATGAAATATGTTTTAGACTATTATTATTCCACCTTTGGATGTACAATTATGTAATCAAATTCCAATCAATGGTTATAGAACTGTTGCCAAGTTTTCTATATTACAATCTTACTGTGACTATCTTTACACACTTAGGAGCGTGATGAATTCTATGCTCCAATTAGTGAATGATATTTGAAAATTTTAATAGTTGTCACTGTAAAATGTTTTACCAATACATACCCACTAAGAGGTTGTTAAGAGTATTATTTCTCTGATCAATTACCAACAATACTGAGTATTAACAGACTTTCAATATCACTAAAACAGGCAAAACAATCTTACTTTAAATGCATTTTTTTGATAATTTGTGTGGCTGACAATCTTCATATTACTTATACTTTGCATTTTTCTTACTTTGAGTTGACTTTTTTCTCAAATTGAATTGTTGATTGTAGTTCTTAATGAGAGTTCTAGGCATATTAGTATAGTTAGCTCTTTTTCTGTTAACAATTTCCATTTGTATGATTGGTTTTGTTTTCATGCAAATATTGAGAATCATGTCCCTATCTAAATGGGGTCTAGGTTTTTTTTATCAGTCTCAAAAGTGCCTTCCCACATGCCATGCTCACAAATGTTCATTCAAGTGTTCTTTTACTTTCAGGTTTCATATAGTAAGATTTAACTTAGTAAACCATCTAGATTTCACTTGTATGTTAATAGTGAGGGAAAGTTCAAGTTTTACTGTTAGGTTTCAAATGAATACCTGATTGTCCAAACAAGATCAATTAAATGTTATTTCTTCCCCATTCTCTGATTTAAAATGTATGCTTACCAAATGTCTGCTTTCCTTTTATTCTTAAATGTCTCTTCAGTTTCCTCAATTCTGGTAGTACCCTATTCCCTATAATACGGCCTTTTAATCACTATAGTTTTATAATCTTTCATTATATAGTAAAATCTCCATATATATGTACATTTTTCTTTGAATTGAAAGCTTCCTGGCAAGTGTGTTTTTCCACTTGAGCTAAACAGTTGCTTTAAAAACAAATTCGGATAGAACTATTTAATTTATATGTTCTTTCAGAGAAATTAATTTTCGTCTAGAAAAATGTTACGTGTTTTATTATACTTTTACCTATACATTCCCATACACACATTTAATACATTTTCAATAGGTCCCTAATGTTTTATGTCTTTTTTAAAAATAGGTTTTTCAATTTTGTATTATTTCATGCTAAATCGAATGGTTTATTTTCTATTTTGTAGTCGTATTTATATAAATAACATCTATGAATATCTGTAAATTACGGTTAGACGCAATTTGACACTTCACTAAGTTCTCTTACTGCTTATGTGAGATTTTCAGTTGTTTTCTGTTAAGTATTCAAGTTACACAATCACTCCATGAGCAAAATTGTGAAAATGCTGTTTTCTTTCCTAATCAGAATGTTAACGTGTTCTGCCTGTTGCCTCTGGCCTATACCACTCAACAGCGTCAGAGTACGGAAATGATGCCTGTGATAGCGAGATAGATGGAGGTTATCTTTCTACTCCTCAAGAAGTTAACACCCAATTTAAAATATTGAAGCCATACCCCTTTAAGTAGGTGGGAAACCAGCCTTAGTGCATCATATCTTCATCCGTACTAGCCTGGGTGGTTACATTTTATATGTGCAACGTAAAATTTATAACTCAACTAAACTGTAGACCGTAAGGGAAGACCAAAAATTAAATGAAAGAAAATCCTAAGTCTTGAAATATAAACGTTTTATTTTATAGAAACAAAGCAACTGCACCCCGAAATAAATCGCACCCAGGTGTGATTGCTGAAGGCTCAAGTGGGAGACGGGCTCTCTCCAGTTACCCCCGCCCCTCCGCCCTCCAAACTCGTACAGTGGTATCAAACCCTTTTACCTGGCCCTGAGTCGGCCTGGCCCGGGTCCCAGAGAGCTGCGCGGAGGGAGCGCCCGCCAGAGACCCGGCCTGCGGGGCAGAAACGCGCGGGTGGCAGGCGACCCCGGGAGACGCGGGAAAGAGGCGCAGCGCGGCCGGGCAGCGCAGCCAGCGCTCCGGAGCGCGCTTCTGAGCCGGCGGAACCGTCTCACCAACACGGCCTGGGTCCCGGGGCCTCGGCCGCCGACTCCAGACCCAGGAGGCCCAGACTTCGACCCAGCCCCGGAGGCCGCTCGCTGCCGGGCCCGCCGCGTCCCCGGGTAGACGCGCACTGGGCGCCCGGGGACTTCGGCAACCACCTGAGGATGCGGCGCGGGGGGCGAGGCGGGTCGGGGTCCGCCAGCCCAGGACGCCGCGCGCCCCTCGCCCGCGGGCCTTGGTCTCTCCTCGGGACCCCTCCCCGCCCGGCCCCACTCACCGCCCAGCCTGCCGTCAGCTCGGCACCCACGACGCCAGGCCTGGGGTCTGATTTTATCCGCGGAGAAGCCGAAAGGGGAAGGAAGAGGAAGGGGAAGGGTGAGGAAAGGAAAGGAAGAGGAGGATTTTGAAATAAAAAACGAAATAGAGCCCGAGGGGGAGGGGCGCGCGGGGTCGGGGGCGTGGTCCCGAGGGCTCGGACCCTCCCGGGGACGCCGGCCCCCGCCTCGCCCCGCCCCGCCCCCGCGCGCCGAGCTGCGAGGCCGCGGGTCGAGCTGACGGGGAGGCGCGGGCCGCCTCTGGAGCCGGCTTCCAGGTGAAGAACTCCGAGGACCGGAGATGAGGAAAAAGCAGGTAGTCACTGTTCTCAGGTGAGGTGAAGAAAGAGAGCAAGCCAGCGGTTGCTTCTAATCAGAGAGGCACGTTCTAGAGCCTGTGAGGCAGGGCTTTGAGGAGATTTCAGGAGAGGAAAGGAAACGAAGAAACCTCTCTCGCAAGAGCCCTGATAATTTGCATGTGTCCCTCCCCCAGGCCCTTGGCTTGGAGAGCTGGCCTTGGCGAGGCGGTGCTGGCTGGAAACACTCGGGCGCGGGGCCCAGGCGGTTTTCTTTTCCACAGGATTGGAGGAGCCAATTTGATGTTGGGGGCATGGAGGGAGGGACGCCAGGAAAGAGGGGCGCGGGAACAATGTTACCAGTGTTTTCTGACATTAGGAGAAAATGACATTTGGTAGGTTCCGTTATTAGACACTAATGGTGTTTTCAGACTAATGTGGTTCAGGTCTGTGGTCCATGGGGGAGGAGCACAATCCATTGACAGGAACTGGGAGAATCTAGATGTACCTACCTTTTAAAGACTAAGAACTGGACAGAGGTAAATTACATTAAGACTGGAAGAGTATTTGGCAGTGCCCCACTATGGGAGAAGTTTGGATAAATCAGAAGGCTTATGGGAGTGGAGTTCTGAAACTTTCTATGTTCCTTTGTACGTATGCTATTTGCTAGTATGCATGTGAAACAAATTTTAAAAATTCATACTGTATTTCTCAGTAGTAATTGCACAGGACATTACCCAAATACCGAAATAATGTACTGAAAGCATAAAACAAAGTGGCGCCCAAACTACAGCTAAATATACTATTTATTACCTTTTTTGTGTGTTGAATTCCACCAAACTTCATTTTTAATTTTTAACACCTTTATTGTGGTTTCTGTACAGTATCAGCTTTGTTTTAAATTAATGAAGGTGATTCAGACATTGAGTTTATGAATGCAAACATCCACAATGGTCACATGAATGATCCCCAATAATTCAAGAGTGAAACATGTCTTGTGAAACATACTGCTTTGGAGATACTGTGGATAATATATTGTAGAGATTCGAAATTCTGTCTTCCTCCGAAAGAAGATTCATTATTTTCTGGCAAGCAGTTGAAGGCTGATTATCTTTAACCTCTGGAAACTTCGGTTGATACTTTGTTAAGGCCAGTCTATCACATGCCTGAAGATTTTACCAAAGCTGTATGTCCTTGGCAGTACTCAAATTCCAACCTCTATTTCCTTGCAGTGCACAGCAACTGAAATCTCTGTTCAGTCCTTTCAGCTGCTACTTTCTTCTGGCGTCATCGGAGCCTCCCTAGCACGTGCATGGTTCGTCTTCAGCCAAGGATTTGAGGGCTGTTTGTAGGTAGGTATTACTGTTCTTCACCCTACTTTCTGAGATTACCCTCAATGTACAGCGAACCTGGCAGCCTGAAATCTCTTCATGGACACCGCGAGTGAATATGACAGTGTATTTTGCTTGAGTTCTGCCTGCCCTGCCCCTGAGGACTGGGGAATGCCCACAGGGGCAAGGCTGTAAACATGGATCTCACTCAGTGATTATCATTCTTTTCTTTAAACTGGTCAAATCCTTACAGTTTCTGTTTGATTTTTACTGCTCTCTAGTGTCTTCAAATAGTTGTTTACGTATTTCTTCCAGAGTTATCTATGGGAGAGTTATTCCAATGTAGGCTACCTTAGCATTATTGAAAGCCTAATTATCACAAGCTCATAGCATTTTAAAGGAGTTCATTGCTAAGTAAGCCAAACTGTCAGAAAGCTCTTTTTATTAAACAAAATATGTATCCATAACACATCTTTGTTGTTTCTTGATTCTCTGTTCCAAAAAGAAATATATTTCTCACTTTAATTAGTAATCCTATAAGTTCATGTAAGTAATTATCCACTTTTCCTCCATATTTTCTTCCTAAGACTGAACACCCTTCTTTCCCTTTGCTATTTCTGTCTGCTGTGATTGCAGATTCCTTACGTTGAGATTACCTTCCTTAGAATGTTTCATTACCTTCTAGTATTTGGTCTGATATTTATACAATACAGTGAAATCCACAGGGCTCTGCTAATGAGGCCCAATTTTAGTAGCTTTATTGGCCTATCAATCACTTATATTTGTGGTAATTAAACCCCAACATTAGTTACCATGGAGTCAGTTTTTTCCATTGTATATTAGGGAAATTATTATAATTGTTAGAATTTGGTATATGACCTTTTATTTCCTGACCTCAGTTCTTTAGTCCAGTAAGGTCTATGTTTAAAGGTTAAGGGAAATGGAACCCAAAGAATTTTAACAAAGGAGCACACAAAGATAATAAGAAGTGAGAACAGGTTGAAGGTGGGTGTGGAGAGAAATG